GATAAGATGGTCTTACTATGTAGTTGAAGCCATCCTCAAACTCACTGTATACAGCCCAGGCCAGACTCAGACTCAGAGCCTCCTGCCTTAACTTCCTGAGTGCCCGGATTCCAAACATGCAGCCACCACTGTGTGCCCCCCTCAACCAGTTCTAATAGTCTCTAAAAATAATGTTAGCGAGTTGTATTGTTTAGTTTGTTTGTGGTAAAGTACTGCAGACTAGTGATTATTTATTTCTTCACAGTTCTCAAGCCAGAAGTTTAAGACCAGTATGTTGGCAGAATTGTTGGTTTCTTGAGTTCTCTTTCCTTGGCTCATAGAAAGAAGGCAGTCTTCTCTCTATGTCTTCACATCTTATTGTGACCTATCAGTATCTAGATTTCCTTTCATAAGAATACCAGTACTACTGGGATAGAGATTACTGTAATGACATCATTTTAATTTAATCACCTCTTTAGAGCCCCTGTGTCCAAATGCAGTTAGTCACATTCTGAGGTACCCAGAATTAGAGTTTCAGTGTACAAATAGTGGAGGTGATGAGGGACACAACTAAGTCTAGCAGTATCTCTTAACTTTAACTGAGAGAAGCTTGATTTGAGATATTGGTAACAAGCTTTATGTTGCTTAATATCGCAAATTTCCATAAAATGACATTGGTTTTTGTACCATCATTGTAAGATTTTTAAAAATGATAGTAGCAAAAATAGTCTTTTTAAACAAATGTACATAGGATATGCTTTCTTGATTAGATTTGGGGGAATACTAGGGATTGACCACAGGGGTTCTCTACCACTGAGTTATATCCCTAGCCCTTTTTATTTTGTATGTTGAAGCAGGATTTTGCTACGTTGCCCCACCTGGTCTTGAACTTGTGATCCTCCTGTTTAGGCTCCTGAGTACTTGGGGTTGCTGGTATGTGCCACCACTCCAGGCAAAAGTTATTTTCTCACTATGTTGACATGTTTTATTTCCCTAACCAGATCCTAAAATGCCAAAAAAAAGGAATGAAAAGGGCCATTTAGAGTATTGTCACACTTACCTGAAATGTATCAATAACCCCAAAACCAAAAGGGCTAGAGAATAGACAATCTTAAATCTTATAGATGGTTCACGGTAATGTGTCAACACTTTCCACCTCCCGATAATAGATTGCATTGGTTACAATTTTTTAAATAACAGTACACTTTTGACCATGTTTAGATTCTGTATTTATAAATGTAATATGTTGTTTTCCTTTTTTATTAGTATATGTTTGCAATATACAGTAAATACATTTATTGTAGGGAATTGGTACATATACATAATTGCATCTTGATCCTTTTTTACTTCCCCTTCCTCTGTCCTTCCTCTATTGTCCCCCCCATATTATCAATACTTTATATAACTTAGTTTTTAAAGAACTACTTTGTTTCCTGGGAAGCTGTCAGAAACACTTAATTGGCATGTCAGGCTTAGCTCTTGGCATTCTAAGAACTAATTTTTCATAGGTTGATTTTGTTCTTATATATGTATGAGATGTGAGTCATTTGGAGTAAGTCTGCTTTATATCTTTGGGCCTATATGATTACAGATACTTAAAACATGTTGAATAGCCTGAATACCATGTGTCAGTTATAAGTCCAAGTATAAACTGACTATTTTCCCTCCGGTACCTGAAATTGAACCCCAGAGTTTTTATACTGAGCTACATACATCCCCAGCTTTTTTTTTTTTTAAAGACAAAGTCTTGCTAAGTTGCCTAGGCTGTCCTAGATCTTGTGATTTTCCTGCTTGAGCCTCCCAAGCAGCTGAAATTCCAGGCATATACCACCATGCTAGACTGATATTTTAAAAATAGATATGTATAGCTGTGTAGTGTTTGTTCGTTCGTTTAGATGTTTCTGTATCAGGGACCTAAAATGCCTATAAATATATTATTTTTCTGTCTTTGGTGTCCTGCATCATCTACCACTTGGAAGAAAGAAAATTCAGTTCCACACAGATGCACTCACACCCAGATACTAGACAGACAAATATTTTGCGTTTACTCCACCCTGCTCCCTGCCCCTGCCCTGCCCTGTTGCTTACATAGCTATAGAAGCCGTTGAAGGTGTTTCTTTTTCTGCCAGCCAATCTCTGTGTGGTAAAAGGGCAGCAATGCCTGCTATCCTGTGAAATTAATTCAGACTCACAAAACAGAAGCTGAGACTTCTTCAAGAAGCAGAAAGCACAACCAGAACCAGGAATGGGGACTTGCCAGAGATGGGGAAAGATTAGGGGAAAATGAGTGTAACCAAAGCCACAATATACTTCCTAAGCAAGATGATCACTACAGTTAAAGAGGTAGTGTGTGTGTGTGTGTGTGTGTGTGTGTGTGTGTGTGTGTTTGACACACCTTTCTTGATACTTGTAACTCTTCTGGCTCTGGCCACATAAACATTTGTGTAGAAAATACCTGTGTTCTTCTGGTTATCAGCTTTGATTTGGTGCGATGTGGTCAATAGTACCTGCCTGGCAATTGCAAGGTTGTGAGTTTAATCCCTAGTACCAAATAAAAAAACCAAATAGCCCAGATGGTATGTTAACCACACTCACTTTAAACCACTCATTGGAAACAAAAATGTTTGATAGTTAGCCTTATTTATTTATCTGTGTATTTATTTATATGACAGTACTGAGGAGATTCAACTTGGGGTCATTGTACGGAGTTATATCCACAGCCCTGTTTTTCACTTTTTATTTTCAAGACGGTCTTACTAAACCACTAAGCTGCCAGGCTGAGTTGAATTTGTAATCCTTGTCAGCCCCCCAGAGTGTTGGGATTGCAGGAATGTATTACCACACCTGGCTCATATTTAACTTTCAAGGGAGCATATGTTCCAGTGTATTAAAATATGTACAGGCTTATCCTTTTTTATTTTATATGGTTATATGGGTTTTTAATTAAGAAAAATAAAGCCTCATGTCGCTATGGCCACAGAATATGATATTGTATCCTGACAACTTGTCCACACATGGTTTTTATTTCAAATTTATAGACTGTGGCATTCCTTACAACTATCTGTGTGTAAACTAAAGAAAATTGAGCCTTGAAGATATTTTAATGGAAGGAATGAGCAGAGCATCTGTTTGAAATGATCTTGTCTTTCAAAGTTATTTAATAGATGATGACAAGGACAAGTAACAGCTCATTTAGAAAATAAATAGGGGAATGAGTTTGTAGACTGTAGTGTGGCACTCCAAAAATCTAGTGAATCGTATTTCTCATAATGAATGTGGAGTTAGAAACAACCTTTCCCCCAAAATCCTGGGCCACATCATTCTGCCCATGTATTGGACAGACATTACTAGAATGGCTTAGCTTAATCAGTGGCTTGCCTTGGGTCTAGTACCCAACACTGCAAGAGAAAAAAAAAGATTTGTTTAAATGTTGTAGGTTGTGTATTTTTGACTGCATAGCAAACCTACATTTCTTCCCCTAGTTTAATTAGTGAGTCACAGTTTTGTGACTGGTTCTTGGTTGAGAATTTACTGCTGTGTTTTTGCCTACTTTAATACTTTACCTATTTGATTGCTGGGTTTGAGCAACTCAAATAAGTTGCAGGTTAGGTGCCTTACAAACAACATAAAAATAACATTTTACAAATAAGTTTAAAGCCTCTCTTTTCTTTGCTGGGGGGGTGGGGGGGTGGGATTGGGCATTGCTAAGGATTAAACCCAGAGCCTCACAAATGCTAAGCAAATGCTGCATCATTGAGCTATACCCTTAAACATGCACCCCCCCACACACACACACCGACTTTTTTTAAATGATTGGACTGAAAACAGGAAAAAAAGTTAGGCATAATGCTATACACCTGTCTCCCCAGTACTCAGACTGCTGCAGCGGGAGAAGCACAGAATTTGAAGCCAGCCTGGGTTATATAGTGAGTTAAGGGCCACCTGGACTACATAGTGAGACTTTGTCCCAAAAGAAAAAAAATTTTCCATATGATTCAGCATTTAATATTTGGACATAGCTAGCCACAATGGCACGTGCCTGTAATCACAGTACTTGGGAGACTGAAGCAGGAGGATTGTGGTGAGTTCAAGGCCAGCCTGAGCTACATAAGCAAGTTTAAGGCCAGCCTGCAACTGTATAATGAGACCCTGTCTCAAAACAACAAAAATATTTCAACATTCATGGGAAAATGTGGAAACTAGACATATGTATATATATATATATATATATATATATATATATATATAGTCAGCCATATAGACAAAGTAGAGATGGTCATATGTTGATTTATTTGCTTATGGTGAAGTGAGATGAGAATTTTCCTCAAGTGAATTTGGCAGATTGAACATTTCAGTGCATTGTGCATACATAATGATGATTAAAGCAAATATACTTTTGTCAATTCAGGACAACAAATCTCTGTGACATTCAGAAGTTAGTCCTTCAAGTGGCACTGGACATCCTAAAGTCCTGAAAGCTCCTACTCCCATAATTATAGTTGTAAGAGGAAGTCAGATTCCTGGTGTTTTTCATATGCAAAGCTTCAGCTTGAAGAACTAGCTGTTTTTTTTCCTTCTCATCCCCTTATAGCTGTCAGGCTTCATTAGTTATGATAGTTGATATGGGGTTTATGAAACTGTTTGTAGTATAGTCACATGGTATATTAGTCAGCATTCCTATCCCTGGGACACAACACCTGACACCCATAATTTAAAGAGGAAAGTTCTAATTTGACCCATGGTGCAGGGGATCAAGTCCATGGTCTGCTGGCTCCAAGTTAGAAATACCGTGCTGGAAAGCTGGGTCAATTCATGGTAGCTGGGAAGCAGAGCAGGGGAACAACATCAGAGATGAATGAAGAGGGAGCACATATAGTACTTAGGTTCATGTCTCTATGACCACCCAAACACACCCAGGGTTTAACTTGCTTTGCTAATCTGTTGGGCACTCTTAACCCAATAAAAATTGACCTCTGGATTAATGGCCATACATAGACAATAAATTTCTTATTATTTTGCAGCATTGGGCATTTTACCACCATGCTGATGGCCTTTTAAATAGATTTGCCAGTTTCCCCAAATTTCAACAACTGAAGAAAACCTTGAGTTTATACTTGAGGACTAAAGTGTGACTCTACCAGTTACCAGGTCAGTATCACTTTCATCCCCATAACAGAAATTGCCACTGCCATCCTAAAATAATAGAGTTTTATGTTCTTTATATTTCATACAAAACTTAATACAATATTGAGATTAGATTCAAATGTATAGATTAGGAAGAATTACTACTAAATCATTTATAAAAAAGTTTACTAGAAAATATTGGTTCTTGAGGCTATGGCTTTTTCTCCCTCCTGTATAGTGTTTGTATTGTATTCATTTCATATAAGTACTAAGCTAAATGAGTTGGTATATATTAGTAGAAATGTTCCAGAGATAACAAGAATATTGTTCATTATGTCGTTAGCAGAGAATAAAATTTTTTTCTTGCCTGTATTGGTCTGCTTTATTTATAACTAAGATGATACTAAAAATTGTATTTTTTGTTTTTGTAGGGTTTTTTTGTTTTGTTTTTTTGGTTTTGTTTTGTTTTTTGGCTTTCTTCTTTCTTTTTTCTTTTTTTCTTGGTCTTTTTGAGATAGGATTTCACTATGCGATTCAGACTGGCCTTGAACTCACTTTGTAGCCAAGGCTGGCTTCAGGTTCGCAATGATTTTCCCACCTCAGTCTCCCAAGTGGTAGGATTACAGGTGTATGCCACCAAGCCTGGATTATATTATTTGTATTCTTTTATGAGAATATAAATCTTAATACACCAAAAACTTGGACGTGTGTGTGTTAAATGCCTGTTTAATTATACTGTCTAAAAATACTTATTTTTACCCAGAAGCTTAGACTTGGATCCAAGAAGGACTGTGGAGATTTTTAACTCTATCCTTACCTTTCTTTCATTGGTTCTTACACTGCCAGTTGGTTTACTCTTTGTAGTTGGTATTTATAAGGTTTCTTTACCAGTGCCCTTTATTCTGCTTAACATTATGGAAGGGAGAGGGAGAACATCAGATGATGGGGTATTTCCCCTACCTGAGGATTTAATGGATGTAGAAACATGAAACAATGACAAAGTGGTAGAGTGGGGAGCTCTTCTAAGAAACCAGTGTAAGTCAACTGATAGTTTAAGTTCCTCCTCGTTTTTCACTCCAGGGTGCTATTACCTTTCTTGGTGTGTGGTTTCCAACTACAAAAAGGGAGCTGAAGATTTTGCTAAAGTTAGTGATTTTGGCAGCCTGCAATTTTTTTTTTTTTTTTTTTTTGGTACTGGGGATTGAACTCACAACTCTGCACTTGCAAGGCTGGCACTTATGCTGCTAAGCTAAATCCCCAGCCCCAGCCTCCAATTTTGGAGATGAGATTTTTTTTTTTTTTTTTTGGTACTGGGGATCAAACTTAGGACTGCGCGCTTGCAAGGCAGGCACTTAGGACACTGAGCTAAATCCCCAGCCCCTCAGCCTGCAGTTTTGGTAATTGTTTTTTAAAATTCTTTTGGAAAATGAAATGATAATTGTTACTACTAATTAGGCAGATTCTGAAACTTGGTAAGATGTTTTACATTTATTAACTCAATCTTCATAGCAAGCTTATGAGTACCATATCATCAAGAGATGAAAAAACTGAGAATCCGAAGCTAGTCCTTGAGATTGCACTGGATAAATTTCCAGAGCCCACCCTACTTCCCTAATAACAGCTGCCAAAGGCAACTGCCCCAACACATAACTAGGAATATGCAGGCCATGCAAAGCCTTGTGTTCTTCCTACATACCATTATATATTAATTGCAGTTTTATAAGGGGTTAATGTTTGGATTTTTTTTTTCAGTTTTTATTTTCATTATAACTGCTCTGAGACCTGTCTCTAATTCTAAAGTATAAAGGTAGCAGTTAGAACTGAGTATACATTGAGAGTATTTTACTGTGTTTTAAAGGATTTATACAGCATGTCCTGGAACACAATGTCCTTACATGCGGTTACACATTCAACTTAAGACAGTAGCTCTAGAAGAAGTCAGTGAGTCTTGTGCCTCCTTCAAATTTTTTTTTTTTTTTTTTTTTTTTTTGGTCTTTTTCGTTTTTATCGGTACCAGGGATCAAACTCACGACTGCCTGCTTGCAAGGCAGGCACTTAGGCCGCTGAGCTAAATCCCCAGCCCCAACCCCCTTCAAATTTAATAAGAAGTCTTGCTGGAGGGTATAGGAAATAGGATGTGATTTAACGAAAACTACGTGAGAATGACAATTTAGAAGTAAAAAGTAGGATATGAAGATGGAATTTGCTCTGCCTTGAAGTTGTAAAAAATGTCTTACACACTGGTCATACTCTTGAAAGGCTATAGCACACTGACTTCTGTCTGTGAGGGTTACATGTTTGAAAAGATGCAGATCATCCTAGAAGTGTGAATTTTTAAAAAGTTTTTATTATGAGACAAGGTCTTACTAAGTCACTAAATTGCATAGGGTCTCAAGATTTTCCTGCCCCAGTCTTCCAGAGTGCTTAGATTGTAGGCATGAGCCATCACACCCAGCTGAAATAATATTTTAAGAAGTCATTAGTTGTTTATGGTTGGATTTATGTGTTTTGCTATATGAAATATAAACGTTGTGCTTATGGCAGTTACTCTCTATGAAAGTAAACAATTTAAAAGAAAATCCCCTGTATTCCCACCAAATATTATCTTTTCTCAAATTTCATTTTGACCAATTGAAGTGGAATGCCAGAAACTGTTTTGTATACAGTTTCGGAATTTGTTTATCTAAAAAATGAGAGATCAGCCAGGCATGGAGCACAGATTTATAATCCCAGTACGGAGGATCACTGCAAGCTCAAGACCAGCCTGGGCTACAAATGAGCTTAAGGCCAGCTTAAATTACATGGTAAAACCCTGACTCAAAAACACCAGTAAATAAATAAGAGATTTTTGTATGATCTAATTATTTTCCAGTCAAATAGTGTTCACGTAACACAATTCTATCTGAATTTCTAGTGAACACAATTAGTTACTAATTTTTATGAGACTTAAATTATTTGTTTGTAAATATGCTTGAAAGGTGATGAAAAATTGATCTTTATGATGGAATCAGTAATTTAAAGTCAGTTGGGTTTTTTATCACTGCTCAGTTTGGCATTAACATCAAAAAGTTCTTACATTTCTGTTTAATTTTCACCATTTCCTTTCTTAAAACATTTTACACAGTGATATAGCATGTTCTGTCTTTTTTCATTAGTTATATAAAATAAGGTCTGTCTTCTGAAGATTGCCTGATTATTGTGTTTGTTGTAGGCTTTCAGGATGAATCTGGAAAAACTCAGCAAGCCTGAACTCCTGACCCTATTCAGTATTCTTGAAGGAGAGCTTGAAGCAAGGGACCTTGTAATAGAAGCTTTAAAGGTATGTTGAAAGAAAAAAAAGAGGGCTGGGGATTTAGCTCAGCAGCGTAAGTGCCTGCCTGGCAAGCACAAGGTTCGTGAGTTCAATCCCCGGTACCAAAAAAGAAAAAGAAAAAAGAAAAGCAAGTAAGTCATCATATATTCTGAAAGCCATTTCATTCGCTGAGTTATTTAAGTAGATGTTGCTACAGTCCTCATTGAAACTAAAAGGAGGGTATATGATACTTGCGTTAGGTGGCACATATCCAATCTTAGGGACAGCAGTAGACCCATCCTCAAAATTATTCCTTTAATTTCTGTGCCCAGTTTCTAGATCTTGAGCTTCATTGTTTCACTGTGCTTTTGCTATTTTTGGATGCTGACCTCTTTGAAGATTTGATAAGAGGTACTTCCGGAAGAAGACAATAGATACATTTGTTGCCAAAATTCAAGAAGGTGTATATGGGAGATCAAAGACCCATAAAGATATCTGTGGAGTTTTGGATCCCAGAATAAGAAGTCTTACTTTGGTTAAGTATTTGACATGTGTTAAAAATCAGACGCAGGATAAAGTGATAAAGTGGACACTTTTATAGGTAAATGGATGCACCTTGAGAAAATACTTATTAGTGAAATCAGACACGCATGTGTAAACATTGTATTGTTTCATTAGTGTGACAAGCTGAAAGAAAAAACATGTATACGGGTGTTTTTATGTATATAAAAAATAGTTAAGATAGTTTAAAAAAAGCATAATGGCCTCTTTTGTTATCCACGGGGCCTGTTCAGAAGCAAATTCAGTGTCCCCCTTCACCAAACACCTCTGTAGGTTCTGCCTTCCCTTCTGCATTTGTCCCAGTCTTTTTTGTGCCAGGCAGAATGACCTCAACTAAAGCAACGACTCAAGTCACACCTGCCTTTCCTTTTAACTAACCCCTTTGACCCATTTTGAGTTGATTTCTGGATGTCTTAAGAAACTTTTGATGTGCTATAAGGTTTGGGTTCTTTGCATGTGGATATCCAGTTGTTCCAGTATATCTGTTGAAGGTACAATCCTTTCTCCACTTAATTGCTTTTGCATCTTTGCCAGAAATCAATTGTCATGTGAATATCTATTTTGGGACTTCATGTTGGTACCTTGGTTGTTTATCTTGATATCAGTGCTGTTTTGTCATGATAGATGTAACTTTGTGATAAGTCATGGGATTGGGGAGGGTTGGAGCTCTAATTTTATTCCTTTTTTTTTTTTTTTTTTTTGTCTTTTTCGTTTTTATTGGTACCAGGGATCGAACTCAAGACTGCCTGCTTGCAAGGCAGGCGCTTATGCCGCTGAGCTAAATCCCCAGCCCCTCTAATTTTATTGCTTTATCAAAGTTGTTTAGACTGTTCTGAGTCTTTTGTATTTTTACAGAAATGTAAGCATCAAAATGCTAATTTTTATGAAAAATGATCTTGGCATTTTGATAAGGGATTGTGTTTTCTAATCTTTATTTTCTTCTATTTGTTTTTTGTTTTATTCTGTCTTTTATTTCTAATTTCTTAAGGAAACATATGAGGATATTTCATAACTTTGTTTTCTAATAAATGTACTTGGTGTTAAAAAAAAAATCAGGGACAGGAGAGGTAGTATATTAGTGAGGCATAAGAGATACATGGAGACTGTGAAGTCTGTGAAAAAAATTGTAGGGTCCTTCCTGTTTTCAAGGGTGATGAATTCTTTATCATTTCAAAGGATTTTCCTTTTTTGCTTCAAGAGCATAAAGAGAAAAGTACAGATGGTACTTTCTAAAAAGGCAAGAGGAAATCACCAAAGAACATCAGACTTAAGCATAGTGAAGTAAGATTAATCCCTGCAAAGTACAGCTGAGTAGATAGCTAAGGGTGGGTTGCCTGGTTGGTTGGTTGATTTTTGCGGTACTGCAAGTTGAAACCAGGGGCTTCCCACTAAGCCAGTGGCAGTGAACCTATGACACGCATGCCGCAGTGGGCACACACAGATCCTTCTGTGTTGGCAGGCAAACTAAGCCACTCCAGCAGCTGAGCACCAAATGACAGTTGTTTTTTCTAAACTAAATCTCAGTATTCAGATTTAATTACAGCATGACCATTTTGGAGTAAATTAGTGGGTTTTGGGTTGCAGTTTGGATACTCAGTTTGAAAAGGTTCACCTTCACTGCACTAAGCTTACATATATGCACTGCCCTTTTTTATTTTGAGACAGGTTCTCACTAAATTGCCTTAACTGGGCTTAAAATGTAAACCTTGTGCATCAGTCTCTCAGTTTGCCTAAATTACGGGCATGTACCACCATGCCCAGCTAAGACTTACATGAATGCATTTTGTTTTCTCCTCTTTGTTAAAATGGCATCTCAGTAGAGTAGTGGGCCTGTAGCCCAGGCCAGACTTGAACTCTCCATCTTCCTGCTTTAGTCACCCAAGTAGTGGGATTCAAGAGGTTTTTTTTGTTGGCTTGCTCTGGTACTAAGATTTGAACCCAGGGCCTTTGCACATCTCCAATCCTGTTTTTAAAAGTTTGAAACAGTCTCCTTAAATTGCTCAGACCCAAATTTCTAATCCTCCTGTTTTAGCCTCGCAGTGTTGGGATTATAGGCATGAGCCACCATGTGGTTTAAGGAGATTTTTTTAACGTAGGTCTTAAATTTCAACCTCCAAAAAAGTTTATAAAACTTCAAAATTATCCTAGCTTCCTATTGAATAAAAGGGAGGTTTGTGTTAATATTTCATAGTTGTTCATATGAAGCTGCTTTGTTGAAGTTTTTTTTAATAGTAGCAAAGATTGTTCTCCCATTGCCATTTTTGAGGGCTTAAAAAATCTGAAGTAGCCAACAGTCACAATCCAACAGTTCCTACAAAAAGCTGTATCTTTCCTTTATCTCATTTTCATTTTCCACACTGATTTATATGTGTGCCTTTAACATACAATAACATGGTAGTCTTTTCTTGGATTATTCAAAGATTATAAATGTGATTAAAATAAAATCTAAACCATTATTTCTGTTACTGTTCAGTATGGCATTAGCTTATGTCTTTTAAGGCTAACTAAAAACAATGGACATTTCTAATATTTATGCCTCAAGGTAATTAATCACTGCAACTACTGTTCTTGTTTTTCCTTGTAGCTTTGTAGTATGTGGTATGTAATCTCCAGTAAGTTCGTTTTGCCACAGTATATGAAGCAGTTCTCTTCTGAAGGGATAGGTCTGGTTTCCTTGGAGAATTCATGGTTTTCTAGGTGATGACATGTTTATGACTTTGATAATGCTTAGTTCCACTTGTCAAAGTTCATTGCCTGAGTTTTAGCCTGTCATGCCATTCAACCTGTGTGGCCTTGGTCAATCTGTCTAGAACAAAGCTTCCATATCTGTAATAAGAATCTGTGATTCATAACAAGTATTTGCATAAATCACTTGACAATTTGCATGCTATTGCAGATACTCCAACAACTTTTCATTTTTCTTTCCACTTATTTCTATCCTGTCAGTGCATAGCATGTATCCAAGGAGCGGTCACTGGTTGCCTGTCATTTGAATAGATGTCTCTAATGTGTCCTCAAGGGTGCTTAATTTTTTAAGGACTTCCCTGCCAACATAGGTAACATAGTGTTCACACCAATTAGTGACTCATTCCTGTCACATTGACAGCCTTTCTTTTTGTCTGTCACTGTTGGTGATTTCTTTGCCTTTCCCTTTCCCTGTAAGTCCATGTAAACTGTTTCTGTTTCTCATAACCCCCCCATACTATTATTACCAGTAGTCTAAATCTATTTAAACCCCGGACACATTCTCAGTTGTTTTTTTCAGCAGTGGGGATTTAACCCAGGGAGTGCTGAGCTACATCCATGACCTTTATTTTTTAATTTTGAAACAAAATCTCACTCAGTTGTCGAGGCTGGCCCCAAACTTTTGATTCACCCACCTCAAACTCCTGAGTCGCTGTGATTATAAGCACATACCACTATGCCCAGCCACATTCCCACTTTATAGCCTATATTAATCTGATCAGTTAAGAGAAAAAAAGGATTGAGAAAAGTTTGAGCTTTTTCCTAATCCTCACCCCAATGCCTGTTATTCTTCTCTTACACAGCTGTCAACTGCCTTAATCCTCATAATGGGGGAATAGAAATACTACTATAATAGAACAATTAGAGAATGCCTTTGCTTTTACTTTTATAGTTTTACCACTGTGCACTTGTACAGCACACATAAGACCATAGAGTTTCATCTGCAGAATCTGGTATGGTACTTGTTGTTTTTTACAGGACTCAACTTTTACACCAGCTACCAAGGTTTTATTTAAAGAAGCATCACTCCTGGTGAAGCTATGGCTTTCACCTAAACCTCTGCTTTTCTTTCTTTTTTTTTCTTTAGCCTCTGCTTTTCATCTTTACAAATGGTATAAAACTATAGTGGCTCATGTGTTCTTTTTTTTTTTTTTTTTTTTTTGTGCAGGGCATCGAATTCATAACCTCATGCTTGCCAGGCAGGTGCTGTATCACTGAGATATATCCCCAGCCTTCATGTATTCATTTTACTAATCATTATAACCTTAGCACCTAGGATAGTGCCTAGCATATAGATGATTAATAAATATTTGTTGCTATCATCATTATTTTTGCTGCTGAGGATTAAACCCAGGGCCTTGCACATGTTAAAAATGCAATCTGCCAGGCATGGGAGGGCACACCTGTAATTCCAGCACTCAGGAGAATCACCACAAGGCCAGCCCAGGATACACAGTGAGTTCAAGGCCAGCTCAGACTACATACAGTGACACTGTGTCTCAAACACACACATACACACACACTCTGCCACTGAGCTATAGCCCCAGCCTCAAATACTTACTGTTAAATAAAATGATTGTGCCATTGCTGTTATTTTAAAAGATAATACTTTATAAAACATAATACTTCAAGTAAATGTTTTGAATCACTAAATTTTTTTTAATTTTAAAGGGATTAAAACAACAAAATGAATTGAACAGTGATAAGACAGTAGGAAATCT